CCCCCTTGACCCCCAACTTCTCTCTCATGTTCCACACTCCCAGTCACCTCTGGATGTTTTCATCTGAATGTTCAGCTGACATCTCAAACTCGAAACTGAGCCCATCTTTTCCCCTAGAAAACCCCTTCTCCTTCAAACTCCCTTATGTTGATAGAACCACGTCTCTTCCTTTCACTGAGATTCAAACACTCATGCATTAACATAAAGTCTTATTGAGAACCCACAAGGTATCAGATACTGTTCTAAACAACACAGGATTGACAAGACACATTCTCTGACCTCAAGAAGCTCACAGTCCAGTGGAGGAGATACCAAATAGAGAATGACAACACAATGTGACGGATACTCTAGAAGCTGTCTATCCAGAGGCCTAAGGCAGTGTGAGGACAGGAGCAATCCAGGCATCACGGAATTCATTAACTCAATCAACCAAGATATGTTGAATTCCTCCAGTACTCTAAGCCCTGGGGTTAACACCTCATATAAAGTATTGGAGGTACAGTTTTGAAAAATATAGAAGATTTTTTTGTTCTCATACAACTACCCAGGGAGACTGGCAAAAAACAAGGAGGCAAATAAACAAGATCATTTCAGTTAGGGACAGAAGTCTCCAGGCTGCTGTGAGCAAGTTTGCAGTGTATTCCCTGCACAGAGACCCAGCTGAGGGGGAGGACGAGGTCTGCGCCAGCCAGAGGGAGCTCCTTTTTCTAATTACTGCAAAGGCACTCTACACCCTCGTGGTGGCCCTGGATCTTACAAAGTGAAATCGAGTGCCATGGAGACTCTTTTAGACAAGGTGGTCAGGGAAGGTCTTGCTTTGCAATCCAAATGATGAGATCATCTGAAGGGAGAGTCTTCATGGCAGAGAACAATCAACAGAACAGCTCGAGGCAGAAACAAACTTGGAGTGTGAGGAACAGAAAAAAGGCTGGCGGGGGAGGAGCTAGGAACAAGACTGTGCGTGTGTGCGCAGACACATCATATTCTGAAGGTGTTTGGGGGCTGGGGGGTATGAGTGTTAGGAAATGAGTCAGAAAGAGAAGATTCCATCCAGATTGTGGAGGGTTATAATAATAAGCCAGTGAAGAGCCAAAACTGGGAAAGGGAGATTATAGGATCAGAGATTCGTTTTGTTTTGTTTTGTTTTTAAGGAAAATGATCCTACTGGCAGCTAGCAGGTCAGTTAGGAGGTTGTTATAATAGCTAGGGATAAAAATGGAGAAAATAAAGAGAATAAAGAAGGAATGTGATATACAAGAGATAGTACCTAAGTAAGAACAGCAGGACTTGTCTAACTGGACCCCGTGGATGAGAAAAAGGAAGGCTTGGGAGGCCTCTTGTGATGCTCTCCCCACTGCCGCCAGCTACACCCTCATTCCCCACGGTCCACCAATGTCTCCCTTCCCTTGTCTCTCAATCTCCCCCCTTCCTTTCCATCTGAGAACACTTGCCTAGTCTCCAGAGAGCCTCTCTCCTTCCTCTGAACTGATGCGGCACTTTATGCATCCCACAGATTTATTACGTCTCACGTTGTAACTTAGAGCATTATTTCTTGTGTACCTGTCACATCATCCTGCTTAGACTGTCAGCTACTTGAAGACAGGAACCAAGTGTTATTTACCCTTTCATGACTCAAATAGACAATCCCTGCCATATTATGGTTGCAGGAAAAATAGAATCAATGAGTAAAAAGTAGCCACATACTAAGTTATGGCAGGGTGGCTCGTGACATGCAGTCTTAAAAACACGCACATACAGATTATTCAAGGCTAGTGAATGAGAAGATGAACCTCATCTTTACATAGACTCGGTTGTGAATTTGTTTAAGGTAGTTCTTACATTTACTGTGTGCATTTTTCTTACACCAAGTACACCTAATAATAATGCTCAGGAAATGGAACCACCTGTTCCCAAATAATCACAGAAACAAATTTTAAAAGTTGCCAAGTAAAGAGATAGATGAACGTGCCAAAAAGCAGAGCCCCAGTGGTCAAATGCAGGAGGAGACGATGGTGTCCACTCTAAGGCCCCCTTGCTCTCAGTATCAGCCCCGAGTCCTTTCACTCTACCTCCCCTGGCTGAGCTTTCACTGGGCCACGCGAACCATGAGAAATTTATGAGAAGCAGTAAATCACCCTGTGTAAGAGAAGTTTATCTTTCAAGGTCATTTCTCCTGTTAAGAAGAGAAAAAAGTGGCTTGTACCAACTTTGGCCGACATCTCTGATCTCCAGCATTCGCTGGTTGTATGGACAGCCTGTAAAGATCCAGCCATTCTCTTTCCTATTTCGGCACCACGTTGCAAAGTCCATGTGGAAATGATACAGCAGTCACGGAGCACAACATTTTAACATTTCCATGTTCTAGTTTGCATTTTAGCTTCAATGAGAATTTCCTTATAAAAAAGAGACATTTGGGGGAAGAGAACTGGAGTGCAGAGGGAGAGACTGTATCTTAATTGGATCTCCACCTGTGACTATAGCACACAAAGCCCGGGAAATCCTAGCGAAGGTCTTGAAAACCAACAGTCCTGGGCGTGGCAATCAAGGTTGCCATGGCGCCCACGTGAATAAGGAAGAGTCCAGGAAAGCAAGAGGTTATCTGTACATCTTTCTTATCAGTTAACAAAGAGCACAGGACCACAGGAGCCACGTACCCTGCGTTCTTAATGAGAGAATAAAGGGTATTCTGGGAAGTACTTATAATGTAGAAGAGGGATATTCCACAGTGTTGAGGATTAAGCCAGAAATTGAAGTCTATCCACAGAAGTGAGCCAAAGAAGAAAGCCAGCCTTCCGAGTATGGAGGTGTGGCCTTAGTGACGTCACCATAGATTGTATCACTACAAGATCCTGTTACTAAGAGAATCGCCCCTTTTCCATTCTGGACTCCTGTCAGTTTTACTTATTTATAAACTCAGTGCCCCCTTGGCATGGATTGCTCCTCAGGTGATGAATGAACCTGGCTGCCTGGAACGGGAATGCCATGCCCCGCTTTCCCAGGTCTCTGCACTTGGCTTCCTAGGAATGAACTTCGGGTGTAACCTCCCCTGGGAAAGTGAGGGGTTGGCCCTCGGAACTCCTGTTGCTAATCATCTTGACTGTCTCCCTTCAACTCACCTGGGAACGGGAAAACACTGGGCCAGGGGAGAACTAATATTTTGCTGAACAGTGACAGTCCTAAGGCCCCGGGCAGGCGTTACCTACACAGGAAACATAGAAATCTCTTTCCTGAGTGTTCTAGGGAAGGGCCACACCCAGAAGTGATACAGCTGCTACCAGATGAAACCCCAAGAGCCCCACCTTGGCCGCCTGGTGACACACTCCCAAGGCCGTACCCTGAGGCTGACAGCTGTGCCTCTGCTCTTTTCTCTCAACCTAGGAAGCTTATGAAAATGCAAGAGAGTGAGGGTGACTTTATTTTACAGATACCTCTGAATATATCTTATATTTTAGTATATATAAAATAGTTTATATTTTAAGCAAATTACATAAAAAACTTGTGTTTTATTATTAAAAATAAATTTCTGGGGAATTCCCTGGTGGTCCGGTGGTTAGGACTCAGCGTGCTCAGTGCCGGGGCCCAGGTTCGATCCCTGGTCAGGGAACTAAGATCCCACCCGCTGCATGGCATGGCCAAAACAATTATTTTAGTTAAAAAAAGATAAATTTCTGATGGTAACACCTCTCAAGTGAAGTGATAGCCTCGCTGTGAGAGACCAAAGAATTTCTTCTGTGGAGGATGGGGTCCTGGGAGACAGGAGGAAGTAACCTGACTTCCGCCACTTGGCCCTTGCGGCCCAGTGAGCAGGCCATCCGGCGCTGTTATCGAAGTATTTGTTGTCCAAGAGCTTGTAGGCAGAAGACTGTGGAAGGGCCCAACATGAAGACATACCCGCTACCTTGCTACCCCAAGTGTGCCTTCCTGACCAGCAGGACTGGCAAAATTGGCTTCACCTGGAGACTGGTCAGAAATTCAGGATCTCAGGTCTTACTCCATTCTTGCTTAACCAGAATCTGCATTTTAATAACTCCCTTACTGATTCGTGTACACTTTGAAGTTTGGGAAGTACTTCCCCGAGGAACTGACAAATTATGAATTAGTCTCCACTCAAACATCTCTACCTACTGCCCTGAAATCCCCATGCCTATCAGCCTTCCCTCCAGCATCAAATATAATAATGTGACATAAAGCAAATCAGCCGCAGAGTGAATTTGCAAACCTCGCAAACCATGCAGGGTTTCACAGAATTAATAGACGTGATCTCGGAGAGCCACTCAAATCACAACCAAAGCATCCGCAAGCGAGGAAACGGCACGCTTAGACTCCTTAACAGGCGAAGAGGAAATATCCACAAGGATGGTGACATTCCTTCAAAAGAGAATGATTTGAATATCAAAGAATTCTGACAGGCCCCTGAGGAAAAACGATGAGGCTCATGAATATCTTTGTAAAAATGACCCACTTTATGATTGTGCTGCGAAAGCTAAACATATAGTTTTGTTGAAAAACTATGCTCCAAAAAAAAAATAATAATTCAACACTTCACTCAGTCTTCAATCATTCTAAGGAGGAGCACATTGTTTTAATTATAACTTAAATGATATTATGTGAGAGAAATGACACTTTCGTAAGTTTTAGTTCCATTTTTCAAGACAAAGTCTAATCAGAACTTGCTGTCACTATTTCTCCTGTTGTCTGGTCCTTGTTTGAAGGGCACTTCTGCTCAGTGGACTGTCCCAGGGCCAGTGTTCCTCCCACAGGACTCACTGGACTCCAGTGCTTACTGTTGCATAGTCCTTTTTCCTTTTTCCCTTATGAGACTCCTTTTTGGTACCTATGACCAGTGTGGGATAACTGACACCTACTTACTCCACAACTCAGTGAAGAATTCTTTTTTACTGTCCCGTTTCCCGGTTGGATGTTCCGTGCATTGTGATACCACAGAAGGGGAATTCGCCCATGCGGTTAGAGCTCTAGGGTAGGTATCTGTTCAGGGTTACCTTATCCACCATGAGAAAGTTCTCCAGCGTCTCTCCGTTTTCACAGGTGACATGGCCAACCTCCCTCACGGCTCTGGGCAGGATCTCTCGCACCTCCTGGGCGATCATCCCTAGACACAAACACTCCAACAGGTTTTGTCAGGAAAAGACCTTTCTGGAGAAAATCCTCCCAGGCCTACCTCAGAATGGGAACCCTGACAACTACACAGGATGCCTCTGCGAATAGATGCTTATCCCCCCTCAGCATTTGATCTATGAGGCATTTAAAAAGCAAAGGAGGAATTTGGAGCCAAGGACCACTAGAGGATTAAAAGAGGGAGTGTTGTTTTCTCCACTCTTTCTTGAGACTCCGAGCCGAATGTTGGAAGGGGTTAAGTACCTTCAGATCCCTGTACATAGACATGAGGCTAGGGCACGGGCTTGATTTTCTTTCTTTTTCTGCAGGAGGGCCCTGCCCTCTAAATGGTCCTTTTTTCTTTAGAATTCCTGGACTGGAGTATGAACATCACTCTGCACTTCTCTGACCTGGACCTGCCTGTCCCGCCACCTTCCCTCTCTATCCCGATGCTGCCCAGTGCTGCCTGTCATACAGTTTGCGCTGCCATCCGCCCCTCGGCCCTCATCCCACGAGCAAGAGGCCTCCAGTGAAAGGAGACAATGTGTTCCAAATCCTCCACCAGTACCTTAGGGGGCAGGAGTGGGGATGGGGGTGTTGAGGAAAGATCACAGAAATTTCTTTAACTTTTCCTGCTCTGGTGATTATGGCTTTCACAGACGACAAGTTAGACCGACAGGATGTCGTCAAGTGCCCTAGCATACAGCCTCCAGATGAAGACGGAATTAGAACCTTAATAGCTGACAATATAAAATTAAGAAGGGAGCTGTGTGTGTACCTGTTTGATGGGCAGTGTTTATTCCCATCGCAGATGCGAATTCAGGCTTGTAGTCGTATTCGACAATCCTCATTTGGGCTATTCTTCTCAGCTGTTCATTTGTGTCAACCTAATTTAAGAAGATCAGATTTCACCCGCTTAGATATTTGCTATTCGAATCAAGGCCCAGAGTGACCCAGAGAGATGAAGAATGTTGGGAATGGGATTGTCCTTTCCTCTTGCCCAAACTATTTTAAGAGAAATTTATGTTTTTCTCCTCCAAGAAGCAAGTTTCAAGGTTCATGTCGGCGACTTCCATCCACTGACTTATAAACTGAGCCAGAGTTTATATGGCTAAATTACAGGGCAAAACCTCCCTCATTCATTACTCTGGCCTCACTTCTGTCCACTGAGAGCTGAACCGTCCTTCTGAGAATGGGGGTTGATCACCTTGGAGAGAAACAATTTCTGTCCAGGATGGCAAGGTATCATTTCCAATTGAGCATGCAATATAAGCAGCTAAGAAATACAGGCTGACCTTGTATTTATAAATTAAAAATGCAGGGCTTAGTTTAAGTAACAACCTATTAAGAATGGGTATACCGTACATCATTGAATTGCTTATGGACATCTTGCTGGAGAAAATTGTTTCAAGTGGCAGTTTGCTAGCCTGGATTACCCATCTGCTGGTCCCTCAAAATCCAGGCTACATTCCTACAGATGGCTTCTCCCCCAGACCACCCTGGTCAGCGATGGTGTCCTCCTTGGAGCCAGCCACTCTTACAGGTAGTTAAAAGCGCTCCCAACTGTCACTGCAAGTTCCTCAAAAAAAATTTCATTGGGTCCCAGCAAAATGATAACAATAAAGACAATACAGTGGATTTTTCCTAAAGCTAAATGTGCTGATTCAAAGCCTTCCCTTTTGAGGGTTTTTTTTTTAATGAATTCATGGTAATAGCATGATTGATTTTTTTTTTTTAACGACCTTATTCCACAAGTAAAAAGTTGGCAGTCCTATGTGGGTCCTTAAATTTTCTTTTAGAGAACATAATTGGATTATGAAACCAGTGGTCTCTTGGCAATTAAAAATATACCGCCTGGACATTCATCCATATGTTGGAGCAACCAGAAATGCATTTCTGTTGTTTTAAGAAACCCTTGCTTTGGCCCTGAACCCCTCCCTGGACCCACTCTGTCAAGTGAGCAGGAAAGTTCCTCCAATATCATAAAGGTTCTCTTTCCTTCACCAGTTTGGTGGGTTATCAAATGTTGTGACTTTGTGCCTACCTGGATAAATGGACTAACTTTACTTCAGGTACTTGTTGGGGAGTCTAATTTTGAGCTCACTGCTGTTTTGATCATTGCTGTTATCAAAAGCTTGGTTCAGTTCTTTCATTCATTGCTTCATTTGACTAATATTTACCAATCACCTTCAACATACCAGGCACTACCCTGAGTGTTGGAACTTCAAAATGATTGCCTTTTTAAAGTTCATGGTCTAGACAGGAAAACAGACTCATCCCATAAGATTATATTACAATGTGAGAAATGCAGGGTGATGATGGAGTTATGAACAGAGAATCATGGCAACTCCAAGGAAGCACCTAAAAGATTATCAGGGGACCGTAAAAGAAGGCTTCCCAGAGATGGTGAAGCCCAACCGAGATCTCGGCTTGTTTCAGTTCTCAAACACGCTCTGCCCCTTTCACTACAAGGCCCTTGCTCAGGGCATTTCCCTGCCTCAGAAGCTCTTCCCTTCCACTCCTCTACCTCCGCCTCTCCCCATTTAAAACACCTCTTCACCAGAGAAGGACTGCTTGACCTCCAAGACTAGGAAGTTTCCCTCTGCCTTATGTGCTAATGGCACCCGTTCTTTTCCTTCATAGCATTAATCAAAGTTATCACCAGACAACTAGTGAGTCACTTTTATTATCTGTCTTCTCCTACAGAATAAACACCCCATGAGGGCAAGGACATATTTGAGGCCATGATTTTCTGTTCGTCACCACGTCACCGGTTTCTAGTACCATTCCTTGCATGTAGTAGGTGCTTAACTAATATTTATAAAATAAATTAATAACTTTAAGATAGGAGTTAGTCAGGGAAAGATGAAGGGTGGGGAAGAGGGTGGAAAGGGTAAGACTAAGATAAGGATGCTGGGCAGAAAGAACACCATAAGCCAAGTCCTGAGGCAGCAAATCCCCTGAATTATGCCTGCACAACCAAGGCAGGGTTTGGCGTGACTAGACTGTAAAGATCAAGGTCAGAGCAGGGAGGGCCTTGCAGGCCATGCTAGGAAGGAGCAGTCACAATCTCATATTGCCCTGTGCATACACCTGTCACTCTGAGCTCCTACATTCATTCAACAAATATTTAATGAGTAGCTACTATGTGCCAGATACTATGCCAGGCCCTGGAGATTCAATGAGTTTTTTCTTATTTGGAGCTTAAATTTTAATGAAAGTTCCTTTCCTGAGGGTGAGGCCTGTGTTTTGTTTGTCTTAGGACCTGCATAGTGCCTAGCACAGTGTCTGACAGGTAACAGGCACCCAAACTTCGAATGAAGGAAAGAAGGAATGAAAGAATGGAGGTAGTGAAATGGCAGAACAATCCCTGATGCTAACAGAATCGAAGGCAGGGGGTCAGTCAGGAGCCGGCTAGTCTGGCCTTGCACTAGCCAGGCCCTGCCCTGTTCCCCACTCCCTGCACTCTGGGGGTCCCGTGCCCACTTGCCTGCTTCTCATTATCCCCTTGGTTCCTGCATGAGGCCCCATCAGAGACCAAAGCAGAGGCAGTGTCAGTTCCTTTGCTGCAAGGGGAAAGCAGAGGAGGATGTGCCCTTCACTCCAACTGTCCAGGCTACACAGAGGGAAAATGACCCCTGCTGTCTAAGTTGGATCCTTGACTGCATTTTCCCCAAAGACATATTCCTAGACATAGCAGTTAGGTTCGCTAGTACTACCACCACTATATTTCAGACAGATTTTTGGCCACACAAAATTCTGAGGGTTGGCTTGGGGACCTAAACACCTGTAACAATCTTTTTCTAAGGAAATGCTCTTGTGATTTCTAATGCTGTGTTGTAGACTTTCCAAAGCTAAATATAAACTGCTTGTATTGCATGCTCCCTATGGCCTGTACTCTTGGCCCAGGAAAAACACTTGAGGCAAGGACTGTGCCTCCTTGTAATCCTCTACTAAGAACTGTACAAAGGCCACGACTCAACACCATGCCTTGCTCATCAATGTGTGCTGAGTAAGAGGGTAGGAAGTGAATTTGGGTGTCTAACCTGATCTTGCCCACAGCAATTTTGGAAAGTTTTGACCATGAATGCAAAGGGCCATCACTGTCATGCTGCCTCACACCCAAGGTTTCTGTATCTTAACTCAAGCCTTTCACCGCAGAGAGGACATTGTAGACCGTGAACTCCAGTCCGTTCAGGGAGGGATATCTCATTACCCGGGGCCCGCAGCCCGGACTATCAGTCTCCCATCAGGAGCAGCTTGAATGGCACTGGCTCACCCTGAACTTCTGCATTTGGCTCGTGGCCCTGAGGGGAGACTGCATGTTTGACTTTCTTGAGCTCTTCACACATCTGTCTTTAACTAGTTTACTGCTGGTGCGCTTGGGAGAAATTACCTTTGAGTATTTCACCTTAACTGATCTTTTTTCCCCTGCCTTTTCTTTTTAGCCGTTTGCTGCCTTATTTTCAGCCTTCACCACAGAATTTGGTGCATTCAACGTTCAACTTCCTTTTTTTTTGCATTGACGTTGCTGTTCTTCACGCCCCTTTGGTTTGCAGCATACCCTTTTCACCCTAATTTTTGCTTGTAAAAGCTGCATTTCCTCTCCAGTCTATCATCACCTCTGTAAACACCAAGTCTGGGTAAGTGAAACTGCTCTCGCCCGAAGCTGACCTCATTTCCCAGTGCCTCCGTTTCACAGGTTTCAGTCATATCTGCTTTATTGTCTCTGTGTCTTAGATGTGTGTCCAGATGAGCCCCAGAGATCTCCTCCAGGCCCCTCCACGCAGAGTGCTTGTGTGCTTAATATATGCAAAGCCACGTTCGCTGCCGTGAGCGAGGAGACGCAGAGTCAGGCACGGCAGCAACGGATGTTCATCCTCCCAACACGGTATCAGGCAACATGTTCGGCCACTACAGTTGTCTCACAGCAGCTAACTCAGAAGCCAGCTCTGGCTGCCGTGCGTCCTTGATGGGAAATGCCTCCAGTCCTACGCTTGCAATCAGCTCAACCAAAGGTTCACTTCCCAGCACATTTGGAAGAATGGCCTTCTTTTAAAAGTTGGAAAAACTGAGTCAGAGAGAGGTGAAGATGAAGTTCACACATCTGTCAGCACCATCATCAACATTACCATCATGTCTCTTGTCTGTAATAAATGGTGAATAGGATAGACAAGATTTCTAGAAACATGTATTTCATAAATGTGGACAAATTATTCAGGACAAATATATTAATTGGAAATAACTTAATAGATGAATTACATGTAATTTGAATTTTTTGCAAGTAAATAATAGTAATATCTATTTGCTTAGCCTTATACAGCTAAAAAATGTTTCCCGTATATGAGCTTAGAAAAAGTTCTTAACGTGAGTAAATATGGGCATTCCCTGTTCAGAGAATAGTAGAGTCATAGAGCGTGTCTGGGCCAAAGTTCCTGGGCGAGTGGGTGCCAGAATCAGGACTAAAACTCTGCCTTCTAACCAGAGACCACCTCCTCTTTATTCCCTCCTGCTTCTGTGAGCAGGAAGGCGATACAGGAACTTCATGTCGAGAGCCTGGATTAAGTGACATTTCACTTCATGGAGAAGTCTTCCTAGAGGGATTTGAGAAGTTCTAGGGAACCTTGTTATTTTGAGACAATATGTTTTCTTCAAACCAAGGAACACCATTTGAGGACGTTTAGTAAAAGAAGTTCTGGTGAAAGCCCAGTGGTGGCAGGAGTGGTGGTGGAGGGCTTTCCCCACTTGTCATCTTCCATTTACATTCAGATAAGGCCTGGTGGAGAATTGTTCAGCCAGTTGCAAGGATAAGTTTAAGTTGGTGTGATCTGAAACACAGCCAGTTCATTTCTTTCTAAAAGGCAGAGGCACGGTATCTAAGACTTGTATCTTGAAATGTATGTGAGAACCTTCTAGCCCTGAGAGTTCCCATCAGGTTAGGAGGTCACAGCTCTTCGAACACGAACCGCAGCTTCTCGATCAGTATAAAAGTCTACAATTACAACCATTCTTTGGAATCCTCTCAGCCAACGAGGACATTCCTTGGCTGGTTCAGAAAAACCAGTGCAGATTTGCACTGGGAAAGGAATGCAGTCTGGAAGAATGGCCAATGATTTACAGATTAAGTCTCCTATTAACTAAGAAAGAATAAGGAAAGGAGGTTTAAAAACTATTCTGCCACCCCGCCTCGAAAATGTTTACAGGAGAAGCAGTGTGAGTGACAAGGTGAGGAGGTGGCAGAAGCACTGAATGGGACACAGAATTGAATGGTGAAACCAGGAGTGACCTGGCATCGTCATCGGGATCCCTTAGGTCTTCATAGCAGTTGTGACTTTCGGAGATGATTCAGTACTTATTATCTCAATGGGTTAAAAATTATTAAAGACTCTGTGGGTCCAGGCAGAGAGGCACCATTTCCATCTTATAGATAAGGACACTGAGTTTTGGCGAGGTTAGGCGTTTTATCCAGGCAAGTCCGAAGTGGATGAGCCGCCTCCTGGTTTCGGGGCCTGACTTCTGATTGCCACTAGGCGCCTGCCTCCCCGCAGGAGGAGAAAGTCTTGACCCGTAACCTGGGGAAATGGGATTGCCCGAGTGAGGCGTGGGGAGGTGGAGTTTCTCTAACTGCTCCTCAGAGAAGGATGCTGAGTGGGGAAGACAGTGGCTGGCAGGCCTGGTGCCAGGGACTCCGGGAGGAAGGGGCTGGAGAGGTCCAGGAGAAACATGGGCAGGAACTGGACTGAGACAGCGTTTGAAAGATGAACAAGGAGATGGAAGTTTGGAGATGGAAAGGAAAAGGCAAGCTCCAGCAGTTGACAATGGAAAGGCAACGGCCTGTGGGAAGTAACTCAGAGATTTCCTTCTTGTGAAGCCAGTGCTGTGCTGTCATGGCCCACTGCTCCCGGCAGGCAAGTGCATTCTCTTGGGTAGGAACTGCTTTACAATTTCAGCAGAGATGCCTAACGACTCCAACACTTGTAACTGTTAAGCAGCATGTTCGTCTCACACCAGCAGGTGACATGGAGAGATGCCTTGTGCCAGGCGTGTCGGGGGCCAGGAGGGCCCAGAACTCCTGACTCGGGTGTCAGAGGAGGTGTCCGAGGCCCGCCCCGCGCTCACCTCCTGGATGTTCTGCTTCGCCCGGCTGTCAGAGGGATGCATAATCGTCCCCATCACTTTCATGTTGCCACAGACAACCAGGGCTTCGTCCGGTGCATCTGTGTTTATGCCCACTCGACCATGACAAACAACAGATTCTGGAACTTGTCCTCGCTGCCATAATGCATCAATGTCATTTTCAAATTGCCCAGGGTTGGAGGCCTGGAGAAAAATACATAAATATGTTACAATTAAAGTTATAGATGCAGGAATAGATGATCGCTTTATTCCTCAAAGGAAAACAGAATGTTAGCCAAGTCTTTCACTTGAGAATCACATGTTGGCTGGGACACTCTGATATATCCGAATAACTGTGACCCCAGGAGAGCCAGGGAGGCTCTCCTAACTGTTCTGCCCCCACCAGCAGAAGCTCAGCGTGTCATGGTTTGCAATGCCCAGTCTCTATATGGAATTGAGAATGTGTTGGATATAGTAGGTGGATGATAAGGAAGAAGAAGAACACTCAAAATGAGTATTTTTTCAGGGAGAATAATAATAATGATTTAAAACCAGAATATTACATCAGAAAATATTACAAGTTTATTAAAGCTCAGATAATTTCAAAAAAACCCTTGCATTTAGCTAGCCCTTCCACAGTTTCAAAACACCTTCACGTTTATGATTTCATACACAATTGACAAGCAAATGACAATACAAATATATTTAGTGCACCTCAGCTATTCCCTAAACACAGATGATTCTGACAGAAGAACGATAACAGCTGCATGTGTTGTGTGCTAATCCACACCCCAATTCTATGAGATAGGACCATTATCTTCCTTTTACTGACGCTGAGACTCTGAAAGAATAAACAAATTGCCCAAGGCCACGAAGTTAATGAGTTCTAGAGCTGCGATTATGCTTCCTTTGATTATTAAATAATGATTCTAACTTTGAGTTTTGTGGTATTGCCTAAAAAAGCCCTGGCCAAATGCAGTCTTCAAAGAAAATCCAAGTGAATCTATTAGACTAGAGAAAGTTCTGGAGATTTTACTGTTAAATAAATTTTTTTGCCAAAGAATTTTTCACTGTACTGCCTTCCCTCCTCCCCATTTCCCTGTTGCCACTGAATATATTTCCACATATCTTTAAGTAGGGATCTATGAATCCACCAAAATCCTCACAACGAAATTAATTTGTTTTTTAAATTATGACCTATCCTTCTCTTACTCTCTTGGTATTATTTGAATGTTTTTACCATAGGCATGCGTTACCAATTTACAAATAATAATTAAAAGAAATCTCAAAGTTCAGATCTAAGTTTGGGTTCAGTTAAAAAACAGGTGTGTGCAACTTCCTGTTTCATTCCTACCCATCTGAACCCTGAGCTGCTTGGAAGACTCAACTATTGACACTGGATAGACAAAAGCAGGGAAAGAATATAAAGTAACAACTTTGAACATTATTTTGTGTGAATTCACTTGAACAAAGAGCTTTTCCGCAAGATCCCTAGAGCCTCCTTGGTTGTGAATGGCAAATTGGCTTTGACTCAAATCCTTTTATAGCGAGCAATCAACTAAATCCAAAGGTATGCCATATAAAATGTTGATGCATTTTCCTCTGCTCTGAACATAATGAGCCACTTCAAGGAAGCAGAATGGGACAGTGATGGATTTTCTTTTTCTTAATGAGCTTTGGGATAACTATTATCCTGTTTGTAACCTGACAGTACTGGAACGGCGGATATAAGTAGATTCGATTTGGGGGAACAATTACAACCATCTCACTTGGATTTCATCAAATGAAAACTCAAATCTCTAAAACATGTTCAAATCATTTTGGAAAGGGTCACATATCTACAATGGTTTAAATATAGAGCCCTAAGGAGGAGTCCTCATCAGTAATGGGAAATGTTATTATGAAATGTGTGAACTTATTTCCCTTCTCTGGTATCCAGAATGTTAATGGGTCAAAGCAAACTAAAATGGAATCACAGAAAAACATTCTGGAGTCATGAAGCTGTGTTCAGATGTGGCCCAATAGCGGTTGATTGCTATCAAACATCAGAATGAATTACAGTTTCTAAAATACTTTTATTATTTATCACACAGCCTCATATATTTAGGGAAGACCCGAACATTCTAGTCTGTATTGTGACACAAACTAGCTGTGTGACTTTGGGACAGTTACTTAACCTTTCTGTACCAGTTTTCTCCCCTGAAGAATAAAGATAATAGTGTCTTCTTTACCTATCTCACAGGGCTGTGGGAATTAAAGGAAATCACGTATGCATGAACACTTCGTAAAAATGAGGATGCATAGTCTCAAGTTCATGCTCCACACACTCTGCTGTGCAGAGTAACCACCATTCAACCTACACTCAATGAATCTGCTCTCCTCAGTAACGCATCTGCAGAGCCGCACAATTCCAAGGGAACTCTGTTCACAAAGAATACAATGTAAATGGTGCCCCCTGCAGATGCTTGGAATAGGAAACACTAGCAGTAATTTGAGGCCATTCAAGTTTGGAATGGAAAGCTGGAATTTCTTTGCTTTACCATTGTTTGGGCTTCTAAAGAGCAGTCAAAGAGCATAATAGGAAAGCTTGAGCTGAGGAAGGCAGTTCATAAGAAATTCTTTCTTGTACCTTGTGCAAAGACTATCGAAAATGGGCCTAGGAATGCTATCTACCGATGCTACTCTAAGTGTGGTCCACAGGCCAGCAGTATCAGCGTCTCCAGGAAGCTTGTTAGAAATGCATATTCTCAGACATCTCCAACCTACTGAATCAAAAATTGTGGAGGTGGGACCCAGGTATCTGTGTTTTCACAAGCTCTCCAGGGTATTCTTATTCTCCATAAAGTTTAAGAAGGACTTCTTTATGTCATACACTACTTCCAGGCTACTACTATGAAAGAGGTCATGAGTTACCCCTTTCATAGTTAGTAGACGGTTCTGCTGAATCCCAACTGCAGAGTGAAACAGACATTGCTCCACACACTGATTCCTTTGGGTAAATAAAAATTCAACTGAACTCCAGAGGAGGTGTGCGTGTGTGTGCGTGTGTGTGTGTGTGTGTAGCTCTAGTGTGTTGGGAAAGGGAAGGGAGATTTGTGGTCAGAAATGGGCAAGAGCCAGTGAAAACTGAGATGGCACCTGAAATGGCTCTGCTCTCCCCCCATACCTTGCCATCCTTGCAACTGCATCGCTTCCCTTGTCTCTCCTGGCCCTTGGTGTTGGTTTCCCACCTTCACGACCCTGCGGTTGCAGAGCAATAAAGGAGGACTTTTGGGGGACGTTCCCATTTCTATTATTCTGGAAGATAACTGGAATAATTTATTAGTGTTCAAAACTAGGAAACCCTGGCGTGTCTTTGAAAGGCAGACAAAAATAATCATCCCTCCTGCTTGCAACACTTCAAACCAGGTTTAATTATGTGTTTTAGAAGAAAAGTAGAGCTGAAGGGAAGCCTAGTCATTAACAAGGAGAATCTGAAGGAATCCTGCTGGGGAATGCTCCCCAAAACAAAGACCTGGGAAATAAATCTGTTCTTTGGAGTAAATTTTAATTTCCATTAAATTGGTCAGTTTACAGTATGGGACCAAAATATATTTCCAAAGCTGTTTTGACTGACAACCCCGATGAATAATTGCTGGGTCCTGCCCACCATTCTCTCTCCAAGGAGAATTCTGACCAGCCTGGTCTCCTGAACCCCTCCTGCAGCCCTAAAATTCATCTACTCCAGCCTTCATACAATTGCCCTTATGTTAATTTCTGCTATGAGGAGAAATGACTCTTAGGTCTCAAAATGAATCTGGATCTGCTGAATGCAATTTGCAGGTCTCCATGTAATGTGGTCAGGTCTTGTAATGTCTTAATTGTCACATTTTTCTTCCTTCGTTCTAGAACTCAAACTAACAGACCCAGACCATGACCCAAGAGGGCACATCTAGCTTTTTTATAGAATGTAGACTGGTCTGCCCTCTGCTCAACCCATGATACATATACCTGTTTAGTGCCCTCTAGAATCTCAGGGGCAAGATGTGTGCTCTGGGGACATTTCTAAAACTCACTGATTCAACCAATAACGCCATTTCTTAAATTCAGTTTTTCTCTTGGTTGGTTTAAACATTATATGATTAAACAAATTCAAAAGTCTGCATTCATTTTCACTCAGCGTTTTGGGGTTAGAATGAAATAATATCAATAAGATACTTCCAGTTTGAGGGGAAGATATTATTACTATCATTTTTTCCTCATTGTTGTTAAGGTAACTTGTGTTACCCAGCACACATATAGAATAGGGTATTCCCTTTAACCAAAAATTATGGATGGAAGAAAGCCATTGAATCTGGAATACAATCATTTAAAAAAAAATAAAAACGTAGTGAATAATATGACACCAAATCTATACTAATTTATTTATTTTTTTAGTATTCATACTTAACATAAATTACAGACACTTTCAACTTCTCAAAGTCATCATTATGAGTGAAATTATTGTGCTTTGGATGCGAGAAGGTGCCCGTTAACAAGAGTGCTGGTAACAGAATGTCCAGGGCTGTGGCCCCTCTCACGATGCTGCTGTGTAGACTCGCACGGCAGCCAAAGTATAGCTTTGCAGGGGCTGTCAGCAGGAAATGGAGAAACCTCAACACCAGGTAAATTATTTAAGTATGCAGGTGACTAGCAGACTGCCTGACTCAAGCATGAATTCCACAGCTCAGAGAGGCACTTTCATGATATCCAATCTACCCTAACTCTGAAAAGAAAGGCGTTGTCTGTCTTTATTCCTTCCTGTGAGGAATCAGAAAAAGTAAGCAACCTAGGTTTCCAGACTTGACTTAAATCGGATTTGTTAGCGCAGCAAAGCAATCCCAGATTACATCAGGTAAGGCGTCAAAGACCCCTCTGACCCCTTCTGAGGGAAGGGCAGGAACCTCTGCCCTCGGCTCATGACCAAAGGAGGGGACCCCACCTGCCTGTGCCGCGAGGGAGGCTGTTCTGCCACAGCTTAGATCAGGCCCCATAAAAACACAGCCCAGGGCGGGCATGCTGGCAGGCACATAACCGGCCCTCAGCATCAGTGCTTTACCTCGTTTCCATCATTACTTTACTTCCATTGAAACTCTGAGATGCAGTGTCAAGAGTTCCAGTAATAGATGCCTTACTTTTTATTGACTAGAAGAATTACACAGAGGGTCCTTTGTTTCAGAATAGCTCAAGGCAAGCAAGGGAAGACTCACTTCCCCAGATGGGCAGATCTTGTCCCCAGGCCAAAGTTTAACAGCCATGTAAGTGGACGTGCCCATCGTAAACCATTTTCCCTACTGGAGCGTGCATGCCCCCCTGTGCCACTTCAAAGATCCGTAACAAAGCAGTCCCTCCCAGGGCTACCAGGCCTGTGGTTACCTGTTACCTCATGGCCCTGGCATTCTCTGTGCTGGCTGGCCTGGCCCCTCACAGATGCTGCTACAGCTGCCAACAGCTCCCGTCCACAGCTGTGACCAATCATTCATTCAGCAAAACGTGCTGAGCCATTACTGTGTGCTGTGCAGTGGCCCAGATGTCCCTGGGGTCACCAATCACTTTGGGGCATGGAATGCCTTCCTACCTCTTTCCCTACCCTGTGGGCTTTGGGGTCAGAGGAACTGGGTTATAACCTGGGCTCCATCATTTATCAGCTTTGTGCTCACGGATGACTTTCTCTTCCTCCTAAGCCTTAGCTTCTCTGGGTATAAAGGATGTAATGTAAAAATGAAACAATGTAAAATGATGTCATATAGAAATTATTTAGCCCAGTGCCTAGAACATACTGTAAAAACTTTCTCAACTGCAGCACTACTGACGTTCGGGGAGGGATAACTCTTTGTTGTGGAGACTGTCCTGGGCATCATAAGGTGTTGAGCAGCATCCCTGGCCTTTATCCACTAGATGCCAGTAGCACCCCCAGTTGTGACAACCAAAAATGTTTGCAGACATTGCCAAATGACCCTTGGGAGACAAAAGCTCTGGTTGAGAACCACTGCGTAAAAACTAAAAATAACAGTATCTGCTATTGCTATCATTATCTTTGTCATCATTGGCAACTGAGAAACTGCATATTTCATGCATTCCACTGAATATGCAAAGTCTACTTACAGGTGAAAAAGCAGGTGGGATCCAGAAAAGTCAAAGAACTGAGCTTACCCTTACAATGATCCGTTCAGAGGCGTGAGCAGACAACAGGTAGAACTGGTCTTGGTTAGCAGCATACAGTCCGACCACCAGCATGAAGTATCTAGTTCAGAAATAGCAGACCAATGCCAACACATCAGGAAACAGAGACATAATCTGTGCAATCGAATGCCACCCAACAGTTAATCAAGAGTGAATTTACCCAGATGGGTTCGCGTATTTAAAGAGTTTCTCTGCTGCTCTAAGTTGCCCCTCCTGCGAAACCAGAGAGGAGTTGATTCACTCGCTGTTGTTCTGGGTCTGCCCTTTGCCCGGCTTGAGGGACGTGTGAGCTGTTTTGCAGGCCCAAAGCAGCCCTCACTGAGCAGACATCCTGCTGGGGGCCTGGGTTCAGCCCATCTGCACTGGCCTGGTGCAGACCTTACTCTACTGCATTCCTGGGCCCTCAACACAGCACTGCTGCCGCGCACTTGCACAACAAAAAGCCACCTTCCAGGTCCCCTTGTCCAGAGCCATCCAAGCCACACATCCTAGGCCATAATGCATGGTGACCCAGCAGGGCTTGCCCAGCCACACAGTCTCCTTCCGCCCTGATCTGCTCTTGGCCATGGAAACTGCACCTTTCACATCCTCTGGCCATGACTTTAGTCAAAGACCAGAACCCTCCCTTCCGATGGTTATCAAGGCAACCTTCCTCACTGTGATTTTTTTTTTTTTGCAGTACGCGGGCCTCTCACTGTTGTGGCCTCTCCCGTTGCGGAGCACAGTCTCCGGACGCGCAGGCTCAGCGGCCATGGCTCACGGGCCCAGCCGCTCCGCGGCATGTGGGATCTTCCCAGACCGGGTCACGAACCCGTGTGCCCTGCATCGGCAGGCGGACTCTCAACCACTGCGCCACCAGGGAAGCCCCTCACTGTGATTTTAATTGCTTCTTCATGTGTACCATTGATGAGACATTTTTAAGATAAGACTATTTCTTTTTGTTTTTTTTTATAAAGCATGATGCATTTTTAGAAGAAATTTTATCAGAGTATAGCTAATTTACAATGTTGTGTTAGTTTCAGGTGTACAGCAAAGTGAATCAGTTCTACATACACATATGTCCACTCTTTTTTAGATTCTTTTCCCATATAGGTCATTATAGCGTACTGAGTAGAGTTACCTGTGCTATATACAGTTAGGTCCTTATTAGACCATTTCTTGAAAGTCAAAATAAAAACTATCCCTATCAGAAAAGCTTTTGCTTTAAGAACTGCATAAAAAAAAAACAACAACACTTCACCAACTTCTGTAACACTCTAAAGTCTCTAATCCCTGGAGGGCAAGAGTTCTCCCCTTTATCTAAAGTCAGTCAGTAATCGTAGTAATTGTTATGAAGATGATGACGATTAGCCACCATCTACTGGGCCAAGCAGTTTATCTATATTATTTCATTTAGAACCCCGAAACAACCTTATTGGAGTAAAATATGGATATTGTCCCCATTTTACAGAATAGGAAACCTCAGAGAGGTTAAGTTCCATGCTCAGGGTCACCCAGCTAGTAAATGGCAGTATGAAATATTCAAACTCAATTCCCTCCAACTCCAAAACCTATGTTCTAAAACCAGTGGTTCTTAAACTTGCATGCATCAAATCACCTGGGAGCTTGTTAAAATATAGATCGCTGGACCCCACCCCTAGTTGTTGATCCCGTAGGTTCTCGGTGAGGCCTGACAACTTGCATTTCTAATAAGTGTCCAGGTGATGCCATCTCGCCTAGTCCTGGGACCACATTATGAGAACCACAGGTATAAATCATTAATGCAAATTTATTTTCTTTTCAAAAAAATGCTACAGCAGAGCTGCAGGGCTCGGGTCATTAAACTAGTGGCCAGCACACAGAATTCTCAAGAAATGCAGTCAATCCTCAACCCTCGGCCAGCCTTGAGACATGAACATATGGTCCCTCTAGAGGATCATGGAGAGAATCAAGACAAGATGACCGGGCGCTGGGCAGGAGAGGAGGCATTGTGGGGAGTGAGGATGGAAGAAGAAAGATGTCTAAGGGTAAATGAGATGGGTCAACAAACGGGAAGAGTCAGAGAAGGGAGGGAAGCAACTGAGGGAGGCCCGGCCTGCCGGCTGGTAGGACCAACAGGATCAGAGGGGCTGCTGGAGGGCCCTGGGCCATCAGGTAACGTAACCAGCCAGCCTGAGGCATACACACCACGCCAGTACCTCTGGTCAGGGTTTGGCTTTCCCTTCTTTCTCATGTTATTTGCCGTGGTTTCGCTGAAGTGTAACCGTCCCAGCGTTACTTTGGTTACCTGGTCGGCCAACAGGTCGATTCTAAAACAAACAACAAAAATATCGAGAGACTGTAAGAGAACACAAAGTCTTTGATCATATCGGACTCATTCTTAGCTTCTCAGGTATGTTCAGTCCCCTCCTCTCATGACACTGTGCAGGACACTGATTTTTAGTAAAGTACCCACAGCCTGGTCAGGAATGGCTGCCAGGGAGTAATTCTTGAATAGTTAGAAACGTTCATCCAGCAGCAGCTCAAGCCCGGAGTTTCGGACTCGTAAGGGTCGCACACTCCCACAGACGGATTCTTTGACCGCGACAACAGGAGAAAAGCTGTTTCACCTGTGCCACGGTTGCTAGAACACTCGCCTCCTGACTGAAGCGGTTCTTCTAGGTTCCTCATGAACTCCTTCGCATCTCCTTCACGTATTTGCCCTCTCCTGACCTGGCTGTGGAAGGCAGCGTGCTCCTAAGGAAGAGCACACACAGCCTCGCAGCGAGGGAGACCCAGATGTACCAGGCAAGAGCAGAGCTGTCTGTACTGCGGCTCCTGCTTGAGCTTCAGGCTGAGCTCCCGCTGGCCTGTCCAGGCTATAAGATCATCTTCTTCCCCCAAACAGGACTGACTCAGGGTCAAATCATCCCAGCCAAATCAGTCGAAAAGCAAATCCCATTCATTCTGTAGGGCAACCTCTTGCTTTACTGCCATATTGCTTTGGACCACCACATTGTTTTGAATAATCCCAGTCCTGTATGCTTTCTATTTTGGAACCCATTAGGCAATCTATCAACACTGCTTAAAAAAAGAAAACAAGAAAAAATGAATTGTAAGCACAGCATGGATCCAGAGCCTTGAAATCAATTCAATCAGCCTCACGCTGATTTAAATGAAAAATTAAAAGAAAGATCTAATCATAATCTATCTCCAGGAACCAAAGTTGTTAGCAAGGTTGTCAGTAATAAATGATCATATAAATAATGATGACCTTAAAGTGGAGCTTTTTATAAGACTTTTTTTGTGATTATTTCAATGGTTTTACCTACTTTTGTTGATAAGCGTGTGTTCATAATATTAACATATTATTACTAATTTAGTTCCTACAGCAGAATTCATTTTAAATAAACAAAATAAATTTGGCAATAGGCCTTCTTCCCAAAACATTCACAAGGGAATTCAGAAAAGAAATTCTTACTTAACAGGATTGAAAATCTTTTTGCTTCTATCTGCTTGGGACTGTTCAATAGCAATTATCTGATTGGTGGCCTCTACCTGTGTAGAACAAAAAGTAATTAATAATTAATTTCTTTATTAATTAAAAAGTTCATTAGTAAATAATTTTCAAATACTTAAAGTTTCCCAAGGCATCATGTTAGGCACTTTGCAGGAGGGGCAAGTCGCTGAAGGGATGTAGGGCACCTTAAAGGAGTGCGTTATTGGTGAGAAAAGAAAAAGATACCTGTAGAACTAAACAAAGAAAACACAAGACAACAGAGGATTTCAGGTAAACAGGGAATATAGAGTGGACTAGTAAAACACAGGAGCAAGGCAGCTCAAAGGATACATGTACTCATTCATTCATTCAGTCAGTCAGTCATTCATTTTATAAATACTTGCTGAGCACCTGCTGTGCAGCAGGCATTGCTCTAGGCATTACAGATGAGAAGACGAGACTAACAGAAATGCCAGCCCTTGCAGAGCTTGCATTCTAATAAAAAGAAACAACAAAAAACAATAAAATAAATAAAATATAGGAATGACATTTATTCAGTAGTTGCTACAAACTCTTGTTATAAGTGAAGACAGTGGCAAGGGCCTGGTGAGATCTGCCCTATCATATATGGTTTGTAGGTATTTGCATAGTAACAGTCTTTCTGGAAAGCAACTGGGCCACCAACATCAAGCGTTTTTAATACCGATCATATGTCCGATGTGCAACCCCTCTTTTGGAATTTATCCTCATACAAGGATGGATGTACCTGGATGTTCACTGCAGTTTTATCAATGACAATAAAAAATTGGAAATAAACAAAATTTACAATAATACAGGAATTAATATGGTAGTATCTCGATATAATGGAAAACCATATCATCTTTGTAAATAATATTTTATAGACTTCAATGATATTATATAATGCCATTTTCACAGTATAATATTATTAATATGAGAGTAATTTTAATAATAGAAAACAATGAGGAAAAATTAGGCTACCAAGTGGTGGATCCCAAATATGAACGAATTTTACTCTTCTTCATACTTTTCTATTATGTTCCATAATGTTCACAATGGACTCATATTAATTCCATACTCAGAAAAATATACTTCATTATTGTTTGTTTGTTGTTTTCTTTTGGTTTGGTTTGGAGAAAGATCAGCTGGTGTGTTCAACAGTCAAGCCCCACTTTGGGAGACTCAGTGCCTGAGCCCAGGTCAGAAAAAAAAAAATGCAGGTAATGGATGTTCCTCACCCTAAGGAGCTGGATCTCAGGTAATAATGTAATAAATACTCGTTGATCACTCAGAAGTCATCCTACCTGCATTCTAATCACAGCTCTATCATTTAATATTTTGGATGAACTGTGTGACTTTACTGGGCCTGGTTTTCCCCTCTGTTAAACTGGAAAAGGGGGGGCATTGACTAGATTAGCTTGGCTTTTTTAAGTTAGAGACCTCTTTGAGATTTCGGTGAAAACTATGAACTTACCGCATGTGAAAATGCACCAGCATCAAAAATAATAAAATAATTACACTCAGCAAAAGAAGTGCAAGATTTATACACTAAAAGACTTTAAAACTGTAGCTTGAAGTGAGGTTCTACCAGATTCTGAGCCCAGGCTTAAGAAATTGGCAGCTTTCATTTCCTGTGCCTTGAAGCCTTTATTCTTAGAAGCCGTTCACCATGCTGTGAGGAAGCACAAGCTGTCCCACAGAGAAATCTACATGGAGAAGAGCCAAGGCCTCCCAGCTACAGCCCCCTGTGAGCTCCTGGCTGATGGCCAGCACAGACTTGACAGACATGTGAGTGAGCCATCTTGGAAACTGGATCTAGGCCCAGATGAGCTGCCCCAGCTGATGACTCCTGAGCAGAGATGAGCTGTCAGAGCCAAGCCCTGACCAAGTTACAGATATGTGACCCAAATCAATGACTGATTATTTTCAGTTGCCAAGTTTGGGGATAGATTGTTATGCAGCAACAGACAACTGGAACACTTAGTAAATGCTGGCTGAATTAAACTGAACTAAATAAAAGACTTACCTTAATCCCAAAAGCTTTCAAGTAGAACATTTCTATTGGCTTTGGACCCATTTGGGTTTTGACAAATTTTGGGCTTCCCCAAACTTGGATGTGGATGGTGATCTGAAAGTGGTTCTTCTTTTGGCAAACAAAAGCTTCATCTGCTGGTGAAAAATTAAATCCTTTGTCTGTAACAACTCGATAGCCTATATCAGGTCTATGAAAAGTGGAAGCAAGAAACCGGTTTTACAAATATTTTCTACACATTTTCTTTCATGAACAATATTAATTATACAACCATTTCAGGAAAATATATTGTGGAAAGTACCTGTTGCTATATTTAATCAATTTCGTTAATTTTCACCAAGGAAATGAAAATAGTATTTCGGAGTACAGCTGGCTCTCTCCCAGCTTTTTATGTTCACGAGGAAGAAGCACAATTCCTGCCAAATGGAAGCATTGTTTCCTCAGCCTGCCTTTTCCCTTTGTGCTCCCTAGACTTCTAATTTGACTCCACTGTACAACGGAAAGACGTAGGCTAGAAGTTGAGAAGTTAGTACATTAATCAGACATATGAAATATCTGGGATAGAATTCATCTCTTTCCTCCTTAAAAAAAAAAAAAACCTCTAATTTCATCAGCAACACCACACTCAAACGAATGAATGAATGCATATCACTCAGATGAATGAATGTTCAGCCTCCTGGCAGTCATATGAAAAAAGCAGACTGGTCAGAACTACCAGCAGAAGCTTTAAACCAGAGTAACCAGAGCCAGTCAGACTACTGATTGTAAACATGTTTTCACTAAAGTATGGTCATTTCCTTTTTATCTTCCTGATCTGATAATAGCACTGAATACCTACTATGCTGTTTACTTCTGCAAGAAAAAAAAATGGGATGATGGTGGGATGGCTGATCAGACTCTTGCTTTATTTGTTTTATCAAATCATTTTCAATAGCAATGCTTTGTGTATTATATGTTTATTTAAATACTTTTAAATGTTAGTAAAAATAAAACCTATTAAACATGTAACATTATCAAGTAGAGAAGAAAATATAAAAGTTGAAAACTCCTTTGGTAATTTTTTCCATATGCGTTATAGATATGGAACATATCTTGATGATTTTTAATGCATCAAGTTTCCTAAATGTTCCTCAGGAAGGGAGCTCCTTCCTCAGATAACACACAGAGGAGGGCAGTACTTAACTGCTTTGCTAGCTCTCGGTCACTCTGTGGATCTTTGCTTCCTGGGATCTCAATTTGGATGGCTGCCATTTAATGAACAACATAGAGTTTCTAAATTTTCCTCTAATTTCAGAGACAGAAAATATGAATGGGTCTCCTGGGAAAAGAGTGTTTGTGTTCTTTGCAAGTTAAGCACCTCACCAATGGATCAACTCACTAGGTCACTGATTACCCTCAAGAAGCTGATCAAAGGCCCGACAACCACAGTGCCCACCAGCAGCAAAGGCAAAGACCACTGAATGAAGGATTTGATAAAGACCACGTGTCTTATGCCATCTGGGAACTTCATACTGACTCAGGTTTCTAGAACTAATCTGTAATTTGCTTGTGGAAAGGCCGGATGGATTGAATTGTATACATTTTACTACAGAGGGTAGTAAGAACTCTCTTGGTTGAGAAAAATAAAAGGAAATATCTTTCTGTGATCTTCCATGTTTCACTGTCAAAAACTCTAAGGAAAGAAGGTAAGATTTGCAGCTCATATATGAGCATTAGCCCGAAATTGAGGGACAGCTGTAAGCAGAAACTGAATCAACACACACAGTTGAAGAGTATTCTGAATCTTAAACACAAATCTCTGGTTATAGAAACTATTCTACCTACCTAAGAGTAGCAATTCTGTTTTTGATATCAAAAGTTAATTATAAAGTTAACTAAACTGGCCTTTTTAAAGCTCTTTTTAACACATGTTGTAAATATCACTCCCCCCAAAAAAAGATGTAAGAAAATTTTAATCCCCTAACTTTATTGCTTTTATGTTATTTAGGAAAATGATATTTTTGTGACAAGTTAGACATAATAATCTAAGAAGAGACAAGTGATTTTCTGTCTCAATGATGTGAGTGGTGAATTCAAGATGGCCTGAGTTCTAATCCAGAAGAATATTGCCTTCCTTTTTTGCTTAAGAAAAGTGAATTACGGCTAAGCCTTCAAAATAAATCTGCCTCTACACCTTTGAGTTGACACTACTTGTGTTCTCCTTTTTTTCCAGATCAGTGGAGCATAGATTGGCTGTCCAAATAAACTTAAAAAACCTACTCGAGTAAGAAGAGAGATAAATGTTACCTTGAAAACTTGATCAACTCAAATACATACAGACTAGGAAGCATTATAGGCTTCAATTAAAATACTGTGCATATGTGTGACAGTTTCATACCTTGGTACTCGTACTTAGGATAGAATATGGAAGAACTGCCAAAAAATCATCAAATGAAGGCTGACTCAAAACCAAGATCTATGGATCCTTCCTTTCTTTTTCTATTGCACACAGTGGCAAAGATACAAGTTGTGACATTTCAATGAAACAAGTAGCAACTTGCTTCTTTTTGTCTCCTATTAAACATACCAACTCCCAAAGTCTGTTTAACTCCTTAGATTTTAGGGAAAAGATTTCTTCTGTCTAGTTCATCCAACATAAAAGTCCTAGTGATAAGTTTTGCTCTTAATGAAGCTATATTTGAGTTTGGAAAATACCCTGAAGACCCTCAAGTTTGTAGCCCAGCGTTTCTCATTTCATATTATGTTTATTAATTGAAAATCCTATTCTTTAACCATTAACATGCTTCAGTGTTTCAAGAAGGCATTTGTAATCAATGAAAATTCTAGAAGAGTTGGGTAGGTAAATTATATCCTAAGGACTAAAGAGAAGGCTTGAAGGATGTTTAAGAGCAATAATGCGTAAGTCCACATTTATGTCTCGAAACTATAATGGCATAAGAATAGCATGAAAATTTTCCAGTTTAAGGATATTTTGTATGGTTTGATTTCAGTCTCTTAATATAAAGCCACCATCAACTATGATTGCTGCAGGCTGTATTGACAATAAATTGACAATACTGATTTGCAGCATAGATGCTGGGGCAGCTAACAATTTAATGTGGCCCCCCAAAACTACTCTATGGAATTTTTAACTAACTGCAGGATTAAATGTTAATGATTTGGGAAATCTCCATTTTCCAGCTTTTAGTTTAAACTGGGCATGTGATCTCAGAAAGATTCCCTCTTCCTCCATCATTTAGTGGGTAAATTATGAGTTAGAATTACAGGTCTGGATTCCTGAAGGCCAGAAACCCAACTATTTATTGTTAAAATGCAAAATATAAGGAGTAAGACACACTTTCTGACTGATGCATCCCATTTGATCAGGGGTGGCATCAAAGCTCAAATACTTGGCTTTAGTTTTGAGAGTCAGCACTGCCTTTCTCCCCTCATTCTCCAGCCAAGCACAGGGTTCCTAAGGCCACTTACAGTTTTTCATATTGACTGTTTAATAAACTATGCCAAGGAACGCTTCGGTATGGCTGCCACTTCAAAGCAGGAGAGCACTGGTCCACAGGCATCATGTTCTGTCTCTCACTGTCGTGGTCTTGCACTTCGCTGCTGTGACTCCTACTTGTCACTGCAAAGAAATCAGTGCATTAAATCTTTCCTCCGAGGCTGTTTTTCCTAGACTCACAGACAGCTGCATGGAGCTAATGCATAGGCCATGTATGAGGCAGAGGGACCGTGTGGGGAGTGACAAGTGTTGGGAGGCAGGGGGCATGTGGCTGGCCTTGTTTCCTCATCTGTAAAATGAGCAGCTTGGGGTCAGTGATTCTAAGGTGCCATGGCAAGCACTTGTCAGAAACTTTTCCCACAGTATCTGTCTACCCTATTTCTGTCATGGCGTCTCCTCACTCCCAGTTTGTGTGATTCAGGTGAAGTCCACTCCCAGCCTGAGGAGGGTAGGGGACGCAGGATTGATCAATCAAACTACAGCATTCACTATTTGCATCAGTAATTGCACCAGGTAGACACATGGCCTAATTCAATCCAAGCAAAGTGGATCTCAGCATGTTAGGGAAGACGGGTTCAAAGATGCTGATTCTTTTCCATGAGGTTTGAACCTATAAGTCACATCCCCAAGAGCTGCTGGCACCATTTTGGGACATGAGGGAAAAGCCTGTCTGGGAATGAAGCCAGGACAGCGGAAGGCAGAGTTGAGAGTGAAGGGCACCCAGTCCTGATGGCATGATTTGAGTTCTGGGATCCACTCCTAAATCTTGGGTTACAGGAGCCAGTAAAGACCCTCATTTTGATTTTTTGTTTGTTTTGTTTTTGCTTAAGGCAGTTTGAGGGTTTTTGGTTTTTTGTTTCTTGTTTTGTCCTTTTTTTCTTTGTTTTTGTTAATTGCAACCAATACACTCTAATCTATTATAGGTCCCTTGTGGCACCAAGATTCTGTGGTCTCTACTTTTTGAACTTAGATGAGTTATTTATTTACTTAGTGTCTTAATTCCCTCAACGGCAAAATGGAAATTGAAACAGGTGTCCTGCCCATCTTGCAACATCACACAGCAGAGAGAATATCATAGTAGAAGTGAAAGGACTTTCAAAGCTAATACCAAGATAAAGTAACAGAATATCTTGTTAGAAGGTAGTATTAACTATATGAAATTGCTACTTTTGTATTCCAAAATGGTCCAGTAACAGCAATTTCACAAGTGCAAGCCACTATTTTTGCATAATCCTTGCAAGTTGTTTGTCTAATTTCAGTTTGTCTAATTGTACCAAATGGTACAATTCAACCGCAGAAGTTTATGTAAATTCCATTAGGATGTTTGCTGTTACCCTTTTCTGTGAGCTCCCCTACCTTTACTCATGCCTGATATCAGGAGTGAAAGGGAAATAGTGTGTGTACACAAGATCAGGTGTCGGCTGTAAGCAACAACACGGGATATGACACCGGCTTCTATACAGCATGTGCACTTAGCCCACAGCTTGGAAAATGCAGGGGCATGTGGCTGGTTTTTCCTTCACTCACCTAGCTTTCTTTCTTTATACTTTTATTGAGGACTTCTTAAGTAAATAGCAGAGCTGCCTCAGGTTACTTTGGATCCCAAATGTCACAGAAATTGTGTTTTTCTTGGGGTATCACTATTTCCTGTCACCTAAGCAGAACATCTGTTTTGGGGGTTTTGTAAACAACCGTTTTGGAAAAGGATTTTCTCAAAATGCTGAAAAACTTTTTCCCAGCTAAGAATACAGGAGGTCAGGGACTTCCCTGGTGGTCCAGTGGGTAAGATTCTGCGCTCCCAATGCAGGGGGCCCGGGTTCAATCCCTGGTCAGGGAACTAGATCCCACATGCATGCCACAACTAAGAAGCCAGCGTGCCGCAACTAAAAAAAGATCCTGCGTGCGGTTACTAAGACCCGGCGCAGCCAAAATAAAATCAAAAGGATACAGGAGGTCAGCAATGCAAGTAGCTCTTCATGCCCTCACTCCTCCAAAAGTTACCTGGCTCAAAAGCTTTTTAAAACAAACAAAAAAACCTTCCATGGTTTGCCTGCTTAAACCAAGTTCAGAGAAAGGGAGAAACTAGTTCTTCCATCTTTCCTTCCTCCCTCCTCCAGCAGAGAGAGGATAAAGGAAGTTCAGGAGCTTGGAGTTTGCAATCAGACAGAACTGGGTTTGAATCACAACTCTACATATACTGGCTACACAATTAGGAAAATGGTCTAATGTCTCTAGGCTTCAGTTTCTTCACCTGCAAAATGTGAGTAACGATACGATGCCTCCCAGGACTGTTGAAGGAATTCAGTGAGTCATGTCGGTAAGTGCTTTAGCACAGTGTCTGCCACCAGCAAGAGTTTAAACAATGGTGCCTTTGGTTAGTATTAGCGGCACCGTCATTATCACACGTATCTGTTTCAACTCAGGTGACTCAGTTATTCCTAACAAGCCTTGGCAAGTACTTCTGTTCTTGGCCTCCATAGTAACTCTATCTAATGTGAAATAATTAATGTCATGGGCCTGAGTGAATACCAGCTAACTGGGACCCTTTCCTACTCAAGTATGGCAGTCAGGCGCCAGGGGAATCAACCAAAGGTCAGCGCCACTCCTCCAAGTGCTGGTAGGGAGGGTGGGCAGTGGGTAGGGGACATTGTCCTCAAGGATAAAGGTATTTCCAGACCTTTCCCATCACAGCAGCAAGATTTTCGGGGCAGCCATTCCATAGGACTGACATAGTCCTGGCTTCCCTGGGAGCTAGCTATCAGCTGGTGAGCCCCAGGGATGGCAATCTGGGACCTCAAGATTAATGATAATAATAATGATATCTACTGGTCCTGTGTGCTTTCTGTGCTGCAGGCACTGTCCCAGACACTTGGCATAGTTTCTCATCAACTCGTTAACTCATCTTCAAGGTAAGGATCCCTTTTTTTTCAATAAACGTTCATTATTAAAGTATAATATATATGAAGGAGAGTACACAGATCATTAGCACACAATTTGATACTTTCTTATAAAATGAATTATACTAGGTAACTACCACTAGATCAAGAAATAGGACACTTCCAGCGCTCTAGAAGAAGTGCTCATGCCCTTTTCTGGTCACTACTTTCTCCTGCCCAGGAATAATCACTATTCTGAAATCCAAACCATAGAGGAGTTTATAGAAATGGTATAATATGATATATACTCTTATGTGTTGGCTTCTTTTGCCCAACATCATGTTTATGAGATTCACTCATTGTTGTTGCAAATGGTAGTAGTTTGTTCGTTTTCATTGCTGTATAGTACTCCACTACATGAATATACCACAGTTTATCCTTGATGGCCATTTAGGTTATTTTAAGTTTACGGTTATTACAACTAGTGCTGCTATGAATATTTGGGGGGATGTCTTTTAGTGGGCATGTGTATACACTTCTGTTAGGTATATTCCTAGGTGGGGAATCACTGGGTCATTGGATATGTTTTAGTAGATGCAGCCAAACAGATTTATAAAGTGGTTACAAGGTAAGGATTCTTAATCCCATTTAACAAATGTGGAAACTGGGGTTCAAAGACCTGAAATAACTAGTCCAGTGTCACAGCTATTATGTGGAAGAGATGGGATTCAAACCTTCTCTTCTCTTCATGCTACGGTGAGGATTTCTTGAGAAAATGTAACAGAAGAGAGAAACAGAAGTATGCAGGTAGCAAACTGCCCAAGTCCCAACTTTTTGGAGAAAATTCACAGCTTGCATTTGAATGTCTTTCAAAATATTTCCTTATACATTACTTTTTTTAAAAGTCTTGGAAATGGGTGAAGTAGAAATTGTGATTCTCATTTGATAATCAAGAAAAATCAGGCTTGAAAAGTCCCCGATTACTGGAGACATGAGGCTTTTCCTGACTCTTCAGTGTGACTTCAGGCCAGGCACCTCTCACTGTGGACCAAAAGCTACGACTCTGGGGCTGAAAAACCCTCATGCATTGGAAGTTCAAACCATATTAGGCTATGAGCCCTCTTTAATTTAGAGTTAGGATCAGGTGGGACCAGGAACCCTCTTGTATTTGGGGTCCAGACCATGGGGGGACAGGAACCAGCTAGCTGGCAGGAGCCTGCCCAGCAGCTACATTCTCTCTAGGCAAGATTTTACATTTGCCCCCAGCAACCCAGTAATTCTACATTGCGATCCTTATAAAAGGGATTCTTGGCATCCTTGGCCAAAGTGAACTGCTGGGGAAAAGGTCACTGGAAAAGTCTTACTCATTGATTTAGAACATCTTCCCCCATCAAAATCCTGCCCATAAGACTAGCCCCTCCTTCCACTACCCGTATGCCATTTCCCCAGGACCTTTATAAAACCCTTGGCCTCTGCAACATCAAATACAAGTTCTCCACTGGAAAACTTCTGCTGAAAACATGGCATTTGGATTGTTTTTTTTTTTTTTTTTAATTCCCCTGGGAACCTGCTCATTTTTCATTCTGGAACTGTTGTCTGGAGCCAGTTATCTTTAGGTGGCTTTTCAGTGACCTTTGAATAGGATTTAAACAAGGGATGCAAGATTTCCTATCTGTTGGAACATTTCAGTTACTTTTCTATGGCTGTTCTCAATGCCCTCTCTAGGGACAGGCCACAGAACATCATCACAGGATGGAGCTTAACTCTGAAATAGCCAGGAGAATTTGAGGAGCAATCTGGTTTGATGAGAAAACTCTTGGAAGGTTTGGGTGACTTGCCCAGTACTCTCAGGGAGCTGTTGCATCTGTGGGAGAGTGAACAGATGGGTCCCTCATCTGGCTAGAAATTTACCCAGCTTTCTGTATTTGAGAAGCATAAAGAAGCTGCAGGCAGGATGCAGGGATACCTGAAGAAATTAGAGTAACCATGCACAGGAAGGTGGATGGAGAGCTACATTATCCAGAAACAAGGCTTGAATTAGCATTTTGCGTTTCTAAGGTTGAATAAGAAAAATCAAGCAGCTGCCGGCCATGGTGGATCCATGCAAAAGATAAGAAGGCAGTAGAGGTTTGGTTTATACAATGGCTGCATGCCCGGTGCAGTGCTACCACAGCATGCCCAGGGGGTTACGATCTGTGGGACAAGGCCAAGTGACGTCATTGTCCACTGAAGGACCCTCACAGCCCATGATGGAGCTAAGGCCAGACGTCCCTGAAAGGACCAGCAGGCTCCACAGGACACAGAGGACCAGCTCTCATCGTGTGGCTGTGAAGGGCAAAGGCAGCAACCGGAGCAGGAGAGAAAGCCACGGGCACCTCCTGTCCAGGCAGCATAAACCCCTGGAGTGTAGGGACAACAGAGGGAGGGGAGCCTCGAGAGGGAAACCTTGGATCCTTGCCAAGCTGATGCCTGGGAGTAAAAGAGATATGACTTGGTACCCTGTATTTGGGGCACTATTCTCACTGCCTACATTAAGTATTTATAGTGGCTAACAGCACTGGCACGGAGGATTCTCCTTTCCCCTAATAAGTGTCACAGCGTTTACTCTGGAGATTCAGACGTTCAAGCCTTCAGGCTCAGAAGCCTCAGTTTGTTCTCAACTTGATCAGGTCTCTAAGCTCAAAACATGATATGTCCCATGATATGTAAGACAAAGAATGAGGGGGGCTGACCACTTGGGCATTGTATAATGCTGCTGAAAGACTTTTAAAATGATTTTCCAGAATTTCAAAGATCTACTGGGAACTTGCTAATTGGAAGGAAGTGCTAGGGAAGCAACTTTCTACCTTCCTGCTGCCCTGGAGAAATCCTCTAAAGCAGGGTTCCCCAACCCCTGGGCTGCGGACCGGTAAGGTCCACGGCCTGTTAGGGATCAGGCCGCACAGCAGGAGGTGAGCGGCGGGCGTGTGATCAAAGCTTCATCTGCGGCTCCCCATCGCTCCCCATCGCTCACATGAGCACCTGAACCATCATCCCCAACCGCCATGCATGGAAAAACTGTCTTCCACGAAACCGGTCCCTGGTGCCAGAAGGGTTGGGGACCGCTGCTCTAAAGTCCTGCTTCTCCGAGTCCCTCCCATGAGCCAGCAGCATGGGCATCGCCTGGGAGCTTGTTAGGAATGCAGAATCTCAGCCCCTACCTCAGGCGTACTGAACCAGAATCTGCACTTTACCAAGATCCCCATGTTACATGTGTGCACGTCTGAGTTGAGAAGGATTGAGTTGAACGAAGCAACGAGCACACCAGCGGGCTCCTGTAGGTGCTGCCACACGGCACGGCTTCCCCAGGCCTGGAGCCTTGGTCCTCTGAGACACAATTGCCCCTAAAACTGAAGGGACCAGCATCTCATCTCCACCAGAGAGACAATGGCATCTCTTCCCAGGAGCACCTGTATGACCCTACCTAACACTGCATGAAACATTATGTCAAGAGGGAAGAAATAAATTCCCAGAGCCTATCATTGCCCTTCTATGAGAGAGAAACTAATTTTGTAGGGCTACTGCAAGGCTGGGAAAAATCCATGATTTAATGGCAGTGACAGGCCCCGGATTGGCTCACTTGGTCTGGAGTGGTGGGCCCACACGTGACAGTCCCCGGAGTCTTCCAGCGCCTGTGTGCACTTTCTCTTCTTGGTCGGTGGCAATGAGGGTCTAAAATTAAGAACCCAAAATAAGGTTAGGATTCTTCTTTTCTCTCCAAGTTAATCAAATTTAATTTCCCAGGACTCTGCTCTGGGCCTCTTCCTAAGACTAATTCTAGTTAGTTAAGGTTCCTTGAGTCCTACTAGTCTGCAACACCAGGTGGATACATGGAGTGGACGGGCAAGCTCCTATTCTATGAGCCCTACTAGTCTGAAACTTAGTTTTTCACTCTCCAGTGGATCTGGGATTCACCTATTTGAAAAATAAACTGACAACATTTCCAAAGGCAGAGGACTCATTGAGACAAAGACAGAAGATACTTAAAATTTAAGGGTATATTTTATACCTGAAAATGTTTTTCACATAGAATTTTATCACAGTTTTTGATGGCCTTTACTCTTTTTGCCATCCTCTAGATCCAGAAGGAGGAACGAAAGAGAGGGAAGGCGGAGAGTAAGGGAAAGAGAAGAAAAGAATATTAACTAAGACAGTTGACAGATATTTTTCAGAGAGCTCATTCACAAATCACTTGAGTGGTCTAGTTGAGGCTGCAAATGCAAACAGTGCTTTCTCCAGCACCCAGAATCTCCCTATACATTTCTGACATTTTAGCTTTCCACTGAATGAGGGCCTTGGGTTCAGTGGATTGTTGATTAAAAGTTGGTTTGAAGCCAAGGGCACTGGGGGTCTGATATATGTCTCAACACTGCCATCTCCTGGAGAGGACTCCACAGTTCACTCTTTACCAGCACTGCGGGGTAGAGGGGCTGGCTGGTCTTTCATAACTAAATATCTTGCTCTTTACCCAGGACTGTGGCACAGAGGCTGCGGATGGTAAGAACAACCAGTTTCCAGATGGGAGGACACAGACTGGTCCAGAGGGGTCCTGAGATGACGGGCGTCTGGGTAGCAGTTGTGAAAGGCACTGTGGGAATGCGCAGAGTCGCTCATTTCAGACGAGCCCTGCGGCAGGTGTGCAGGCAGCCTCCCAGGAGCAGCTGCCGAGAGGAGGAAAGCAGCTGGCATCCCCCCGGCGGCAGGTGTCAGAGTCGGGCAGCACGCACCTGGGGAAACACACAAGTGAGAAAGGCCCCTCTTTCTCACCATGCAGAGTCCAAAAGAAGAGAAGCAAGTGCTAGACGGGTGGGAGGGAGGTGGGTCCCACTCACCTTTGACCTGTGGAGGAGAGCAGGAGTCTGACGCAGAATAGGGTGGGGTGTCTGGGAGCTGGCGTTGCCTGAGGATTAGAGACATGCATTCCTTTTGTTTGTAACTTATTCCATCATTATATTTTTTTTTCCACAAACTGGTAGCAGCCCTCTGTGTACAGCACCCCTAGGGAGGGTTCCAGGTGCTCCTGGGGGCCAAAGCCCACCAGAACATGCCCAGTGTCGTGTTGAGTGAGCTCTGAATCAAACAGACCCGGGTTTGAGTCCCAGCTCTCCCACTTCCTAGCTGTGTATCCATGAACAAGTACTTAACCTCTTCAGGCCTCCACTTCCTCACCTATAAAATGGGAATAATCATTATGCCTTTCTCATAGCATCATAGTGAAAATTACATGAGATACTGTGTGTAAAGCCCATAACATACGTCCCCAAACACAGTGAGTGCTCAACAAAGCTTAATTAACATTATTGTGTCTTTTTAACATTCTCAAAGCACTTAGGCCAGAGAGATGGTTGGGCTAAAGCAGTATAAAATGTCACCACTAAAGCAATGGTTTTCCACCTGTGCTCTGGGGAATCTCCAAGCTCTTGGAAGGAGCTCTGGTGTTTTACAAAAGAAAAATTTTAAATGCCTGGGGGAAATATTTTATAACTTTTTTCTGTTTTATATATTGAGGTGCAAGTAAAATTTCATTTTAAAAAATGAGTACCATCACTAAGAAAAGTGTGAAAATGTCTGTTCAAAAAAACCCTACCTTTTCTGTTCGAAAAGTTTCTTATGGCTCAGAAACTCTGTGGTTCTAAGTTATATATAATCACCACCATCCTCCACTTGATCCTCTTGCTAGAGAGTAAGCTATCATATTTTTCTTGCTTCATTAAGATTTCAACATCATGCAATGAAGAGAGAAATCTGTTTTTATTATTTACTAGAAAACTTATGCTTTCTCCTCAAATTGGTCCTTTATAGTTTATTCACTTTTTATTAATAAGGGAATAGAAAACATACATTTCCCTTCCTCCAAAAACTCCACCGAAAAAACTCCGCCGAAATGAAACTCCAAAAACTCCACCGAAATAAAAGTAAAGGAATAAAGAGGCATAAACAGAAAAAGACATACGTGAATAGAGACTACAACAGACCATATTTCAGTAACAGTATGGCAGACAGAAATAGGATGGATGGTAACTGAATTAGCAGAAGGGAAAAGCTGCCTGGGGATGGCAGAGGGGATGTAGGAACCAACAAGACATTGTCCAATTTGAAAACAACTCCAGAAAAGCCCAAGATATTGGCATCACCAGCAGTTTCTGAATTCAGGGGTAAGGTAGAGCTAAAAGTGAAAGAATTGATTGACAGTTTAATTAAAGAACAGCTGGACCCTTAGATCAACTTCTCCCACCTGTATAGTCTGGCAACTTCCCAACAGAAATTGGAAAGTTTTATTCTCTGGAGAAACAGATCCAGGGAGATTGTAGAGCTACTGGGCGAAAAATGGAAGGACTCATTGAGCACATCCAGGTGAACAAAACTCCCAAGATTCGGTGAAGGATTTACAGAGCTCATGGTTGGATCCATACATGAGCTCTCCCTTCCACCTTGAGATGATCCTTACTGAAAAAGAACACATTGTTCCTAAACCAGAAGAAGAGGTTGCACAGAAGAAAAGACATCCTAGAAGAGACTGAAGAAACAAAAACTTAGGGCCCGGGAACAAATGCTGCAAAAAAATAAACACAAATAAAAGCAGAGAAAAAAACAACTCAAGAAAGAAAATATAATCTTAGTAAATTATATGTGAACACACAGTGATAGTAATGTAATCCCTGAATATAAACCTAACCAAAAATTCTTATACAATTTTATGATATGGGGAGGCTGGGGATAGAAGTGGGTATCGGATATGATATAAGAAAGTTAAATCCTCCTGGAAGATGATAGTAAGTTCTTAAGATGTAGAAAGCAAGAACAGCAATATAAAACATTATTCAGATAAAAGGTGGTTGAAACATCTAAAAGAGTTGGAAAGTAACTGCCTCTGGGAGAGCCAAACTTGGGGACATGGGGAGGAGTGAGGCAAAGGATTACTGGTTTTCATTACAAGCCATATATATGGCACCATTTAACTTCGTATCACTCTACATGTATAAATCTACAAACAAGGACTTCCCTGGTGGCACAGTGGTTAAGAATCCGCCTGCCAATTCAGGGGACACGGGTTCGATCCCTGGTCCAGGAAGATCCCACATGCCGTGGAGCAACTAAGCCCGTGTGCCACAACTACTGAGCCTGCGCACCACAACTACTGAAGCCCGCACGCCTAGAGCCTGTGCTCCAGAGCAAGAGAAGCCACCGCAATGAGAAGCCCGCGCACCGCAACGAAAAGTAGCCCCTGCTCGCCGCAACTAGAGAAAGCCTGCACGCAGCAACGAAGACCCAGTGCAGCCAAAAATAAATTAATTGTTTTAAAATTTACAAATTAAATTTTGTGATTGACTCTGTGATCTCACAATTCCACATTCAAGGTTCAAGGCAGTTGTTTACTTTCCTTTCCATTTGCGGCACCACTGAATTCAATAACGTTAATGAAAACTGAAAATCACAAGCAAATTATCAATACACTCGAGAAATATGGCATGGCACATCACAGACTGGAATGCATGCTCCACCCAGCAGGTCCTTGTGGAGAACCAAAGGTCCCTGTGTTGAGTAGCAGGAACATGGGTTGGTGGTTTTAAAATGCGAATTTAAAAGTTTTAATACTTTCCTTACAGTTTACTCTCCCTTCCCAAACTCACTCTGGCTACTCCTTTAGTTCATTGCATTTCATGTTCAATGCATTTTACTGGATTGGGAGAAATTTTGCATTCCTTTTCAGAAAATTTCACGTAAGATTTAAGGATAGCTACCTTCAAAACTAAGCAAATTGTTTAAAACAAGGGCAATGATTAACTTTAAGAAAAACACTGTTGTCTGAGACTGTTTCTAAGCAGTTAACTCCTCCCTACTCACAATCATGATGTCAGCAATGCACATTAGACTGTTTTGGGCCTTCAGTGCTCTGAATTTTCCTATTATGCTGAAGGGATTTCCATGAAGGGACCTAGAAATTGACAGAACCGTTGGTCACTCCTTGAGGGGCTGTCTCTATCTCTACCTTCTACAGGAAATGGCTATAAAAATCAAGAAATCCTTATAAAATGAATAATTTGCTTTCTAAATCCCTCCCTCTCAGACACATAACTTGCTTTTGTTTTTTGGAGGGTGAATGGCAAAGTGTGGTCTCCTGGGGGTTGAATGCCATGCAAACCAAAAGGAGTGCAAAATACTTTTCTCTCCAGCTGGCTGAGGTTAGCACATCCATGACATCTGCATGCTGCAACCAAAGCAGCCAGGATTTCTTTCAGATTGCAGCCAGGCTTGATCAAGCATTTATTGAGTGCCTAGTACGTGCTCATAACTCTACTGAACACTAGGCAGGACTGCAGGACTCACAGTCTTAAGACACAGGGCTTCCCGTGAACACCCATCTGGGACTATTCACAATTCAACAGTCCAATCCTCAGTTTTCTCCAATGACTCCCCCGGGGTCTTCACATACAAATTACACCTTCTCTAAAGCTCTTCTGCACATTGATATCAACTCAGCACACTGCCTGGTACAGAGTTATTACTTAATAAGTATGAATTACTGCTTTTTACCTGACATATGGCCATAAATATGTTATTTATATAAATTCATATATCAAGAGAGGGCATTCCTGACCACCAATCTAACATGGTAGCCTTCTCCCACCCCTCACTTTCTACTCCCCTGCCTTACATTTATTTTTCTTCATCTTTTTACTGAATGACTTTATACTATACACCATTGTCTTTCTCTTCCCACTGGAGTCGCATCACAACAACGGAGCACCAAGAGTGAAGGGATGGAAATGGCTCTCCCCAGGAGCAGGTGATAAGGAAATGCATTGCCTGCTGAGAACTTAAAAACAATACTTAAATCCGCAGAAAGTCAATCTGCTATTTATCATTATTACCACACACCACCAACTCAAAGAAAAATGCCTGGGTGCCCTGCAGGGCAGACTGTTTTCCACCACATTGCCCTTGGTAAACTATTAGCAGGTCCATCTGTTTTGTTCACTGTTGTACCCCATCACCCAATTACAGCATAAAAATAGTTGTTACTGAAAGTATTTTCTCCAGTTTTTCATGTGTATGATTCATGTCCTCCCACGCAGACATTCACTTAAGAGCATGTCTTAATACTGTGTGTGTGTGTGTGTGTGTGTGTGTGTGTGTGTGTGTGTGTGTATCTCCTGCATATTGCCCACTGGTGAGCACGTAGTAGGCACTTGATAAATACTTGACCAAGCTTGCATAGGGTTTGTACCCACTACCTGGAAGTTGGGATGGGAAAGGGCCTTGGCAGAAATGTCATCAGTGAATAAAGTAGCCCAAGAAAATCATTTCATGACAGGGCAATGGAAGCAAGAAAAGCAAGTTGCCACCCCTCCCCTTCGGCTCTATCTTGGCAAACTGCAAGAACCCTGACCCTCCCTCTTACCACTCTCCCCTGCTGCTTTAGAAATAGACAACCTTTATGGAGGACCTACTCTGGTCCAGGCACTGAGCTAACCCTTGCAGGTGTTGCTTCATCTAATCTCTGCTACCACCATGTGAAAAGGTACTATTACTGCCCCTACACCACAGGCAATGAAACCGAGGCTTGATGAGGTTAAGTAACATACCCGAGATTATTCATCTGGCATCTAGTCAAACTGGAGTAAAGTGATCTATCACCAGAGTTTATGCTCTAAAGAACACAATGTTTTCAATACAGATATTTAAATATCCTAATCGAATGAATTACTATGTCATTTCATTTTCTACAAAATCTTTAGAATCTAGAAGTCACTGGTAATGTTTGTGCCCAGGATTCTGTTTACATTTTCTCCTGCTGCATCCATTTGAACCCACAAATCAAACCGGTCAATGAACTCAGCCTTTAACAAGCTCATCTCATAGAATTATGTGGATTACCTCACTCCCTTTCGCAACATC